GGCGCCAAAAAATTATAATTAATCAACCTTGCCGACAACATGCATGGGAGGTAGAGCAGAGAGACCCTGGGAGCAAGGTTGATAATTAATCAATATAATTCATTTTACGCTTAATCGCGGATTAGTAAATCGACCGACTAATCCCCCTTTAAACAACCGTTTCTTAACCCGTGATTAACTAACTCACGATTAGGAAATTTATTCGACCATTAGGCTTAATCGGTGATTAGTTTAATCGCAGTTTTGAACAACCCCTGGTCCCCTCTTGCTGCAGTGAAGACAGATAGGCCTGCAAGGCGTCCTTGTATGACTTGCTGGCCTAAGAAATTAGCATGCTGTATGTAGCGAGACTTGAATAAACATTATTATTTATTTCTTTATTAATTTATTTATTTATTTATTTGTTTGCTTTTTCTTATTTATTTACATTGATTTAGAGCTAGTTCATTTTATATTCACAGCTCGCAGACGGTTTTACAACCCAGCTTATCGTCATGAGAAAGTATAACGAAGTTGGATAAATATAGATACAAATCCATAAGGGTTGTGTCAAGTTCTTTCTCCCTTTCCTCGGCCCTTCGTTGTTTATATGGTACTTTTTCTGCTGTACTAGAGTTGGTTACACTTAGACTCTAATGGACATAAAAGTTCAAAGAACTTGGTTATCATTTTGGACAGTGCTGCGAAGGGCTACATTTCAGTGAGTTATTTTTGTTTTTTGGGGTCTCGGCCACATTTCTTACATGAGCAGTCATAAATCATTTCCACAAGCTTGTCCACTTGAGAATTCTTCCTCCCGGGGCAGTTGAGGCTCACTTTGGTCCAGCTCTTCAGAGAAGGTTTACAGACATCGCAATACTTTGTTCTTTTTCTTGACGCGTACCTGACTGGAAAAGTACCCGGAGAGTAGTATGAAAAGCACTGGCCAACACAAGCTTTATTCTGAATGACTTTAGTCTCGCAGCCCTTTTCTTCGATCGATTGCTCTATGTCTGTTGCCGAGCACCAGCTTGTTTTTGTTTCAGGCAAGAGGAGAAAGGACCTTTTCCGAGATCCTTTTGCTTTCGCGTCAACGTCGTCGATCTTCGAGAAAACAAGCGATACCGTGATAACGAAAATGAACCACTTCGTGCTCATGATTAGCTCAATCTAGAAGAGGAAAAAATGAATGATAAAAATTTGTGTAATTTCAAGCAGGCGAAAAAACAACGTTCTGTCCATTCAATTGTTCGCAAGGCTTGCGTGACGGCCCAAATAACCTACCTCTTCGAAGATAAGTAGCTCCGGGTGAATAACCTAACACCCTGTTAGTGCACTTAAGGTTAACTTATCTAATAGCCGGTTATTTCGCGATGACATTGTTTACATTTTACAATTAGCATAATTACCCTGTCAACAAATAAATTCTATAAGTGAAAAGACCATTTAGAATTTGGTTATACGGGCCACCGTTGAAGGAAATAAAAGGTGATCTTGCATTAAACCACCCTAAACATCAGGGCGGAGATTTGGTTGAGGCAGAGCTCTCTTCAGGGCCTGCGGTTTAGTGCTGGCATGCATATCTAGATATTGAGGACTAATGGATGAGTCAATATCAATTGATATCCACTGGGCAATGTACAAGTGCTAGAGTACAAGCGCGTATAAAATGAACTCTCAGTTAGATTTGATGAACTACCATCCTGTTTCTTTCAAACTACTCAAAATCTCTTCATCTATTAATTTAGTAAAGGTGTATTACATGATGCGATAAATGAAACATGTTCTCCATGCGTGAAATTGGTTGTTCTGTGGCTTGTGTTTATCGATATTGTCATTCTGGCTTTGGCGGTCAGCCGAACTGCTTTGCCCGCAGGACACTTTGTACTTTTTATAAGGTCACAGGAATTTTGTTCAAGCATTACCCCATTTCGCGTGCAAAGCTGACATTCACAAGATGGTTTTTTACGAAACGCGAAATCTCCTTTATTTTCAATGTGTTTGCACGTAAATCTAAAAGAAGATTCCCAATTTGAAAGACTTTATCCCGTTGCGTGCCGTAAGTCACCGATGCCCTATGCACTGTCACTGTCACGGGACTTCGTGAAATAAATGAGCAAAAATAAACTTGTCACTTTACTTAAAACCAACGTGAATATTTAAAAACGTGTTTATTAAATAACTCAAGAAGTGTAGAGGAGATGAGTACCTCGCTCCCTTCACCCAATAATTTCAAATTTGGTACAGTAGCATAATGAGGGTTTCGGCTTATGCTATTTATGTTTCGTATAAAAAAAAAAAAACCAATAGTTACCAGGAGAAGAAACGACTACAATGAAATAGGTGTTTTTAGAATTGTAAATGAAATCACTAATGATACGAAATTGGCCACTTTTCGCCAGCACGTTTCAGCTCTTTTGGTTTATTGTTCGATGATTATTTCTCTTTCGTCAGTTTGTTTTGCAAACTCGGGTTTTTTTCAACGAAATACGCAAGTCAGTTTGCTTGCTCTTAATAAAGGCTTAAAGCTCTAACTGTAAATGAAACCGGTCGTGTTAAATTCACATACAAAACTGCCATAGAGACGGTGTTTTATCCTCCAACAATTAGCCGGCAGGAAAAAGCCTCATTGACATACCTGAATCTTTTCTGGGGCGTGTCCTGGGGTTTTAAAGGCAAAATTGTTTGCTTCTGTTGTCGTTTAATTCTGATAGCTGTAGATCTCCGCCTTCAACAAGACTCACGGGCAGCTGACTTGCGCTTATGTTTTTAATGCTCCGGGGGGTGCTTGGATATTGGCTTGTTAACAACTTCCGCTGAGTGGGCCGGGTTGTAATTTATGAACAACAAAAGCTGCCAGGATTGAGAGTTTGAGAGGTATAAGTGTCTATTGTCAGTAAAAGAGTGGAGTTTACCATTACCATAAGTTTACCATCTGAATAGTTTGGTAGTTCTCACACTATTTCTGCTCTTTTGAAATTTCGATCAAAATCTAACCCCGGGCTTCAAAATTTGAAGTGCTGACAAGTGCTGACATAGGACACGAAAAATTTCATGATGACGTCAATTCGTGTAACACCTCTGATTGGCTAGATTAGAATAGCAACAAATCGGACACAAATCCGTAGTGCAACGCCATTATTTTTCCTAGTTAACGTTTCTTTAATGGGTTGAAGGAACTGTATATATTTTTCTTCACATATTTTCTCTCCGTACCTTTTGCTCGTTTTGCCAGCCATTTGAAGAGCGCTAGGAAATGGCCCTTCAAGCAGACAGTAGAGAACAATACAAATCCAAACAAACAAATAAACGTTTCCGTGAGCAAACTATTAAATCTTCGATACTACCATTTACTGTTTCAAGAGATAAGAACCAGGAAACCTCAGTGCGCAAATTAGATTTTCAATCAGTCTGATACAAACTGATTTTCAAATTCGCAGTGATGAAAAATTGTCACCCTCGATTTTTTAATGTAATAGAACTTTGTGCTATTTTAATTTAAAATAGTTTTAATCCTACCTGTGAAATATGTGCACAGAATCCATGACTAAATTGTTAGATGTGTTGTTACAAAATGTTTTGGGCAAAAATGCTTCGATCACGTTGGCTATAAGGTCCTATAGTCTTTTTTTTTTCTACAATTATTTGTTTAGAGTTTTAAACACCTCTTGACATAGTAAAAACTGCATGCTTCTAAAAATATCCTTCATTCTCATGACCTGTCAGTTGAAAGACTGTGACTGAAAGGTTATATGCTATAGATATCGAAAAGTAGCAATTAAAATTCTATTTTGGACATTTTTTCCTCAAACTGAGTTTTGCCCCCATGGATTTGAACAATGGAGTTTAAGCTTTGAAAATACTAAGTGCACCCTTAAATTGCCTGAGGGTTTTAGGAAATTGTCAGAAAATTGTTCTCAAAGAATACTTCATCTAACTCCCAACTCCACTTGGGTACAACACTTCAACAAAAATAACACCAAGTTAAGACTTTTAATATTGCAAATAGCAATAAGCAAATCTTTCAAAAACACAGGATTAACATTTCATTGCTACTTCAAGGGTCATGCTGGTCTAATTGCAAGCATGCTTCTTTGGAAAACATTTTCATTCTAAAATTAAAGTAATTTCCACACAAATAAGCCTGAATACAACTGGTAGTTTGGAGTACTGGTTTAATTAGCCAGGTGAATTAAAACTTACTACGAGGTCCTTCCTTTTGATAAAGTAAGACTCACGTTTTCAACTAATAAGATAAACAGAGATAATTTAAAATATGCAAATTATTAAGTGCTGTAATATAAAATATAGGTATGAGAGGTTGCAAAACTTCAATCAGCTATATAGACCCTGCAGGAAAAACAAAGACGGCCGCTTTGAATAATTAAGGTTTATTGCTTACGCCAGCTTTGTTCTTATTCTTAGGTGAGTTAATGACAAAAACTTGTGCTTATTCACGTATTTGTGGACCAATGATGATCCATTAAGAGTGTGTGTCTGTGAGGAAACCAGACAGGAGGTCAAACAACTCAAATCATCAATTGCGCTCAAACTTGACACAAATGTTGAGTTTGGTGAGTGAATGATCATGGCAAAAACAGTAGGTCAAAATATTTTGTTATACCTCCCAACTCAAATACATTTTCTGATTGGAGGAGAACATGTCACATGTCATGGGTCAAAACTCACTAACTCCCTAGGGTGAACAAAACTCACTAACTCCCTAGAGAATAAACAATTTGAACTTTCAACTCGTACATGATCGGGTCATGCACCTTGAAACCATGGCAAATGTGTGCACTTGCCAACATCAAGCTAAAATTTTTTTCTCCCAGTTTGTTTTATTTTTTGTGTTGGGAGGTATAACAAAACACACTGACTGGCCCCACAGGAAACAGGGAGTTTTGTTCCCCTCAACCCTCAATGTCCCCCTTGGCTTCGCCCTTAGGGCCAGCCTTTAAAGAAGTGCTTATTATTCCCTTCAAGTCAGTGGGACCCCCTGCAAAAATGGCCATTTGACACTAATTTATACACATTTAATAAGCTGTCTTTGGTTTAGTATTTCTACAACAAGAAAGGACTTATAAAAATTAAATCTACTAGATCACGTTTATTCATTTGAACTAGGCAATTAGACTTTTCTCCATGGCTCCATCTTAAGTAAGGGGCATATTTCGTAGTGCTGTGAATAGCCTTTAATTGATGGTAAATATCTGCAATGAACAAACGCAAATACACATTATTCTAACATGGATAGTGAGAGCAATCGCTTAAGTTCAAAGCCGTTTTTCTAACTCGAAATCAACAAGAACCTAAAAACTTTCCTATCAATTTCGAGTATAAATTCGGCAAAAAGAGGCACCTGATACATTTCTTTCAAAAATAGTTAGAGCCATATACCATACGCTATTGTTCAGGTTTGTGGCAGGTAAAAATTCTGCAGCAGAAGATTCAACTCGCAAGTTCCCTCAACTTACAATTTCAGGTGTAAAATAGAATGGAAACAAGAAATAAGTACTACATACATGTCAGTTAGACGCGATTTTAAGCTCTTTCTCTTGAATTCTTGAATTGCGAAATGTCCAGTTTTGTGTCATCTGTTCGGCTACTTCGACCCGAGTTCTAAAAGACGGTGTAAAGAGAATATCCATCGCCATTCCGCTTTCATCATCGCAGATATTATCAGGTTGTCAGCATCGCTACTCAAAACGCCGTTCAAAATCCACAGACAGCCATCACTGCTGCTATATAACATAAAAACTTCTTTCAAAACCCACCAGAAGGCCACCAGAACGCTCCGCCATCTTTGACGACGTTTAGCGTTGAGCCAAAGCCAATATTGAAAAGTCAGCGGTTATCTTGCAATGATTCAGTAGATACATCATGTACAGTAACACAAATTGTACCTCATAATCTCGTTCGCAGATGTGGGCGAAGTCACAGATGCATTACCTCTGGGTGCTAACTATAGCCCATCCCCTTAGGTTCCGCCCAAATCAAATTGTTTGCTTCTTTCCATTTTTCATTCTTTAAAAACTTCGGCTACAAGGGAAAGGAACTTGCTATTCGTGCTACTCTAGGTAAGCAATTTACTTTATTTCACAAATTTACCGCAACCGCAACCTAGTCAAAAAAGAAGAGGGGCAAGGCAATTATAGTGATCAATAATTTCGTGCCTTTTCTTTCTTTATAACTCTGCTGTGTTTATAATCGTAAGATTTTTCCTGATCAGTTAGTTCCAGTCAGAGTGTAATAGTTTTGGACAACAGAAAAGCCAGGCGCGTCAAGTGTAACCGTGTTATAATACTTGAAAGCAGAGGTAACTGTAGGAATATGGAGTGCAATTAAAGATTCACACCACTAGTGATGTTAGAAAATTCTCTAAAAATTCTAAGAACCCATTGGAGAGTGCAATTTGAAAGAATTTTCAAATATGGCAAGTAGTGTAAATCCTTGATTACTCGAATTTTCGTATGATTACTCATTTATTATATGACTGAGAAAAATAAGAACGCTCCTGTATTAATTTGCACTAAAATTAAAAATTAACGATAAATTGGCCTGCTCTCAGCCTATCACAATGAATAAACTTCTCGGTCATATAATGAATTATTTAATTGTATTACGGTAGTGTAAGTCGCATTCGCGCACGGAATGGATGTCGATGGTATGTAAATACAAAACTATTATCTTTTAGTTTCATTGCTAGCCTTCAGGAGTTATTTCCCTCGTAAAAATGAAATATCTGCCGCTCGTGATGTTGTTTCTGCATGTGCATATCATTCGCTTTGAAATGGTTTTCCCTCATTCTCAGTGCATAGCTAAACTAAACTAAACTAAACTAAACAATTATCTCGTTGAAGCAAGGAAAGAATGAAACAAATAGTACAAACAAAATCATCATTTTTTTCCCGAACTTCAAATAAACCGCTGCCCGGATCTGAAAAGAAATTATGTCTCAAAGCCAATTATGTTTACAAAGGTGGTGTACGTAACGACAGCCTGGAAAACACCGTGAAAGGAGTCAATTGTCTCTTGTTTTTAAAATCGGGATTGAAAATCACGCATTGTAACTCCCATGCAATGTTCGTTATTTCTTAGCTTCAATGACAAAAGAAAATGTTTGGATACCGAATGCCAAGCACTGTGATTTGTTTACATTGCAACTTAGATTCTGGTTGAGCCAAGTTGAGTTAAACTTTTTCAATAAAATGTTACAGACGAGGGTTACCTGAATTTGTCTCGTTTTTCTTTTGATTCATACATTTATGACGGTCGGCAAAATATATTTTAATCGCGAATTAAAAATTACATACTAAATCACTTATTAAGTTTGGAGATAATTTCTACAAAATACAACTTTCTTTTTAATTTCCAAAAGCAATATTTCAGGATTTATTGTTGTGGTACATTAACGGAAGTGGAGAACACACCATAGACATAAATAATTTGATTATCAAGTGTGAAGGAAATTGAATAAGATGCCTCGAGAACTTGAGAATCACTTTGTTAATAGATCCGTTGGTAATTCTGAATCAAATATAAGCATCGAACCGATATTTATCATTTACCGGAATATCTCAAACTAATTGCTGGAGAAGGCGGTTAATAAATCCCCTGGTGCGTCGTGAAATCGATGCAAATCATGGAACCTGTGGCAAGCTTATTTATCTCTTTGTAACGAGACAGCTAAAAGTCCTGAACGAAAATCATTTTTATATTCTTGCACACATATAAATATAAATTGAGCCTTGAACGATAATTTTTTTCAGGCGCTGAAACCTTCAGCTTCAGTCTCGCTTTCATTTTTGAAAGTGATTCTCTTGCTTTTTTACGACGGAAAAATTTGCTAGGAGGATGCTTGTGAAAAAAGCTATCAGTGGGCACTACCGATAAGTTTTGGGCTATTGTTTTTCCCGACCAATATAAATTTAATTCAGTTCTTGTTATTGAATGATATTCATACTTTAGCGCCATTAGCTGATTCTAAAGCCAAGCTTTGTCTTATCAGAATATCTCATTATCTTTAGTGTTTCCACCTGACCATATAGCTTCAGTATATCAAATTGACTTCTTCTTCTACAAACATTTACTGCAAAAAATTTCGAACAGACGCAGACACGATATCCAAGCAAAAACATGGCTCAGCTCATGGGACGAAAATTTACATTTGAAATAATTATTATCTACACCAAAATGTCAACTGAAATATAATGGTTCGCGCTCTCAAAAGGTCTTCCCGCCTACAAAGTACTCCCGAACAAACGATGAAATATTATCGCCAATATGCTAGGATTATTTGTAACGAAACTTTCCATCTGGCGTTCCTAGCTAATTAACAAGACAGAAATTTCGGAACTTTGCAATTTGTTTTAATAAAGGTTGGAAGGAAAAGCCGTGTAGGCGTAGAATTTTTTTTTTTGTTATATATATATATATATATTCATCTAGCCGCATTTAAGACGCCCCGAGCTTTATTTAATCAGGAACTCACAGAATTTACAAAGTTTACGCGACGGATAACTGATTCGCGTTTTGTTGGAATAAATTGACAAAAGCCACACTGAATAAATGTAGTTCTGTTATTTTTGTTTGCTGAAACACTTGACAAAAATATGCCGTACAGTTATTATTTTATGACGAGTTGGATTTGAACGATAGACAAAACAAACGATAGATCGAGAGAAGAGACGTTGAAAGTAAAAGTAGCTGGCTTGGGAAAGAAAATCAGTCACTCATTGCAGGTATTCACTTGACAATTTCGTTTCGTCCCAAAGTATTTCATTGTTCGGTTTCAATGACAACTGAGTTTTAAAGACTTCTTTTACTCTCAATTACAATACATTTGAGGTATACCCGAATTCTCAAGCCGAGGAGCTCAATAGCTCGCCCGCTATACGCCGGACATTTTGGAAAGTCTTCGATCGAGTCGGCAATTACAAATTAAACCACCCACCGCGTTTACCATTGTAGCGTTGATTTACTTAAAAATATATTTATTCTCCTTTCGTAATTTTCTCTCCAGGGAGCTAGAGGGGCAAATACTGTGAAATTTCTTCGGCTATGCTTTTTTAAAGCTCAGTGTTCTCATAACAGTGATTTTACCTTCGTGTGTGGTGTTTTTGTCTGTAGACCTCTGTACTGTAAAGCGTTTACAAGGCTCGTTTACAGAAGCATGACCCGGTGAACGGCGGGCAAAAGCAATATTATCGCATTCGAATGTTTCATCGATTGAAAAAAGATCGTCATGCCGTAATTTCCATTTAATGTTAGCGGGGACAAGGTAGTGGAATTATATTTTTTTTGAGATCTCGAGGGAAGAATCCGAATATAAATGTCGTTCTGGGATATTGCCTTGAATTTTAAAAACCTAATGTACGAGTCCCCATGCTGTCCCTCGTACTTCTACGCCATCTTTTCTCGATAACAAAAAATACTTCTACTTCGAAAATGTGGTGTTTTTTTCCATGCTAATACATATTCTTAACGATTTTTTTTTTCATTAAAAAAGTAAACAGAAATGCAAACTTGATCAGGAGGTGCTCTTTATAGAATTTATACCTCAAATAAAATGAAACTGAATTCCGTTTCTCTTAAATTTTCTTACTATTTTCAGGTTGCGTTCAACTGCGTTTTTTCAAGTTCTTCACCGGGGGGTGTACTCTCCGAATTTTTTTCTAGGGTTGCACGGCGAGTTTAAACCCCTCACGCTTTTGTAGACCAAATATGCAGTTTATCGCGATACCCTATTAGTTTTTTAATCAAAAGATTACTTTACGTCTCCAATGCATGATCTCAGTTGGCAAGGAGTCACTTCCATTTTTCGCCAATATTTTAGGAGGGCTTCATATTTTCTGATTTACTTGAGAATAATCGCGCAAATATCACACTCATTTTCCAGGCCAGAGTGAAAAACATATCCTTCTTCAAAATTAAAATGATCAAACTCTGTGCCGTTTCTTTCAATTCAAATCGGCTCACAAACGATACTTTTTACGCCGAAAATACCTGTATGGCTTATTTAAGGGAGTAGTCCGGCCCCCCCTGGACCCTGGACAGTTCCACGACATCTCTAAAACAACAAAGTATAACTGCTCGTGGACAACTGTAATTTTGAACTACACTAATAGCTAGTAATAAAGGAATGAAGGAGAAATTTGATTTCTTTAAATGCTTTTTGTAACCAGATGCGGCCTCTCTCCTAGATAGAAGGTTTTTGAGACTAAAATGGATCAAAAACGTTTCATAGCGCATATATATATTAGTATTTTATCAAATAGTTTTTAAATCCCGTCGACTAGTTCTTGTTCAGTTTATCTTGCGATCTCCGTTACGATATCTGATTCTGATAAAGATTTTGTCGGTCTTCCGTCGCTATTTCTTTTAAACGTCACAACTTAACAAATTTGATGGCATTTTCTTTCCCAGCAAAAAGGTTTCCAAGGACTTTTAAGTAGCTATGACTATGCATTTCAGTTTTTATTCATTGCGGGTAATGTTCCCAATTTGCATATTTCCGTGACTGTTTTTGCCGGTTGTTCCAACAGGTTTTCTATCGAAAAACACATGTCTTCAATTCATTTCTTCAAAATGATCGAGTGGAAAGCTTTGGTTTACCGGATGTCGCTGCTGTTGAGCGTTACAAACGGCGAGTTTTTCACTTCGCTCACTCAGATGAAAGGCCTGGTTCGATTGGAGAGCGCACTGTCCAAGTCTCTGGACATCTATTTGGAACAGAGATCGGAGGCTCCGGGAATTATCCGACAATTTGCCGATCATGTAAGAAAGGAAAGGAACCTCGCGGCGGGTGATATTGAAAAATATGTCTTCCATCCGATTAATTCCTTTCAACTTGTGAGGCGCTTTATAAGACACTGGACAGAATTAGGGTCATACCTCGCAAAAGAGTCTCCTAACGGTAAGAACAAACCAACTTGTTTTAAGCTAAAAACATGTTTTAAGCTAAAAACTGAAGATCCACAGCTCTTGGAAAGTTAAATTGTAAGTTAAATATTTGCTGTGTTATTACAACAACATACCCGATTGCTAATTTACACTTTTTTAAAAAAGGATAAATATGTCAAGAACTGATAAGAAATATTGAAACGAGATCTGTCCTCTTTTATTTAACATTGCTGTGAAATATAAAGCTACTGCCACCTACATTGTCAAAGAGACAGGTGCCCTGAAGAAAGCAATCAATTATCTAGCTAGGAGATCAGTTATCTTGAAAGCAATGGATTCATTTATCAGATTTAAGGTTCTTAGAAAATACTTAAAGACCAATATTACAAAAGCACAGGAAAACAAAACATTTTTCCTTCCGTTTTCACACAGCATGTTAGATGGCTTGTAAGGGCCGACGCTGTACCCAAGTAACTAGGAGTATTTTTTACCTCCCCTGGATAGGCTGCTAATTCATAACAGGTTACGACTCCGCTTCCTCCGTCCCCCCCCCCCCCCCCCCCCCCCCCCCCCGGGTCCTGGGCTACATTCTGTTACAAGTATCGTTTCAGAGTTGCTCTTACCTCTGTTTCAAAACGAGTCTTGGTGCACTACCTTTCATATTGAAATGAGTTTTTCTTACACGTTCATTGTCTTGCAAATCAAACTCATTTCCATATGAAAGTTTGTGCAACAAGACTCGTTTTGAGGTAAAAAGCAACTCGAAAATGGCTTATTTACCGATGGATAGTAAGCTCAAACCCAGATCTCTACCGCGTTTTTCTTTGACTTCGTTCTTTGCGGCAGTGTTTATAGCAAAAAGGCTAGTGGAGCCGAGCAAACAACTGAAACAAATAACTCAAATTGAAAATAGCATTGTTAAGAATCCCAACTGGCCCGAGGCAAACCAGTTGGCTATTTACAAGCGATTACAACAGGAGATTTTTTAAAGTTGTCTTTTTCTTCTCTCAAATGTTTAGACCTCCACTGGGAGCTCGTCATCAATCGCCCAGCGTTTCCCACCACGCAAGACTTCATGGGAAGCATGTCAGCGATTCTGCGCATTCAAGATGTTTACAATCTCAGCGCACGCGCAATTGCTGATGGAGACTTGCATCAAGAAATATCCAGCGGGAGCCTGGGTCCCGATGAGTGTTATGAACTCGGCATCGTTAGCAATGACCAAAGAAACTACGAGGATGTTATAGAGTGGATGAAGGAAGCGTTAAAACGCATGAGCCCGCCGTATGAATACAGTGGTGCATTGACAAAAATTGACGTCCTTGAGTATTTGTCCTGGGCCGAGTATAAGGTGGGTTTAAATGACAAATGCACATGTGAGCAAGCAACATTATAGGCTGAAGTGTGAAAGCACTTATCAGGCAGTCTGAGAAGGTGAAAGATTAAGATGCTAAAATTGTTTTCCCGCGTTGACTACTAACTCTAACTGTTTAGAAAAAAAAAGTTGTATGAAGGTTTCATTATGACACAACAATGTGAACTAAAGGTAAATAAACTATTAATTTCTGAGTTTAGCTTGTGCCTCTGTTTCAAAACGAGTCTTCGTGCAAATGAGTGGGAGGTGCGGTGGCCTCATGGTTGGTGCGCTCGACTCCGGAGAGAGCGGTCCGGGTTCGAGCCCTGACCGGGGATATTGCGTTGCGTTATTGGGCAAGACACTTTACTCTCACAGTACCTCCCTCCACCCAGGTGTATAAGTGGGTACCGACAATTTAATGCTGGGGGGTAACCCTGCGATGGACTAGCACCCCATCCAGGGGAGAGTAAAAATACTCCTGGTTGCTTCATGCTACTGAAACCGGGATAAGCTCCGGTTTGATGAGCCACTTGACTCGTATGCAGACTTAACCTTTACCTTTTTACCTATTTCCGAGTTACCTTGTGCCTCTTTTTCAAAACGAGTCCTCGTACAAATGAGTTTAATTTTCATGGGCAAAGAGGCAAACGGCAAAGAAATACAATGAGGGGTGGCGTTGGGGGAGTAGAAGCGACGCCAGGGCTTGCCTCTTAACAACTTGTGTGTCTCTTATTTCCACAGGTCGGACTTTTAGACGACGCGATTATACACACGAAAGATATTCTTGGACAAGGTAGTATTATATTGAATCGACATTTCATGCACGTTAGATCGGATCTAATATATTCTGGCTTAGAAGGTAAATAATTTAGATCATCAAAAACTAGGGTGCTTTTCTGTTCTAATCGCTACAGTTCGTTATTGATNCAGATTTAGAAGAATGCAAGTAAGTTTGTTTGAAAACTCTTTTTTTTGAAAGTTTGAAAGTGGCAAGCTGGTACATTTTCTTGAATGATTGTCACTAAGGCAGTAGGGTTTAGGTTGTAGGTTCCTTCAAAGCATTACTTTAAGGCAGTCAAATGTTAATATTATATCCTCCAACTGATATTGTAAGTAAATTAACTTAAATTATTAGCAGAGCTTCATGGTGGCCAAGTGCAGCACCATGACTATAGGAAGAAATACTATGAAATACAATGAGGGGTGGGATTGGGGGAGTAGAACCGACGCCAGGGCTTGCCTCTTAACAGCTTCTGTGTCTCTTATTTCCACAGGTCGGACTTTGAGACGACGCGATTATACACACCAAAGATATTCTTGGACAAGGTAGTATTATATTGAATCAACATTTCATGCACGTAATTCTGCAAGAGCAGGCCACAATGTCTTTTTCTGATCTAATATATTCTGGCTTAAAAGGTAAATAATTTAGATCATCAAAAACTAGGGTGCTTTTCTGTTCTAATCGCTACAGTTCGTTATTGATGTAAAATCGTGCGCCATGCACGAATAATATCAAAGCAACAATCCAGTAGGCCTGGGCTCTAAGCCGAGGGGCTGGAGGACACGGTTGAGTAAACTTCCTGTTTACTACTCTTTTCTCTCTCAGCACCTTAACCCTACTGTCCCTTCTACTTCCGCTTTTCTCAGTGCCCCCTGACCCCACCTCCCCCCCACCCTCTCCCGCCTTAAGGAATGACACTTATCAGACAAATTGCTTTATTTAGATCCCACAATTAAACAGGCCCATATTAACCTTGGACACTTCAAGACAGAGCAGCTACAACGTATCACACACAGCCATCGGTCGGCAAAGACCACGGTGAGCAACAACAAGAAGAGAAAGAGTGACTCCATGTTCACGTATGAGTGCCTCTGCTGAGGAGAATCTCAGAAGGTTGGTGACCTTGCTTGTTAAGAAGAGATTTGTTCTATACTTTTGCTATGAGCTTTACGAGATATCNTTTACGATTGATGTTGTAAGAGACTTTGTCCACGCTGCCTTGGTTACGTTGTTTTGTTCTTCTATTCGTCATGTATTTATTTTAATTTAGCTCAAGAGGGCCATTGTCACAAATTCAACCACTGGGAATCAGTTAGCAGCAGAATATAGGATTAGTCAAAGGTGAGAATTCAGGCTAAGAAAATATGAAAAGCTGGAATTGTAATTCAGTAAAACTATACTAGGGAACCACTGCATGTGCATAACAACAAATGTACAAGGTCAGTTCGTGATTCCTTCTTATTGGTTATGAAAACCTTGTCTGAACACACTGACCAATCAAATGATAGCAAAAAGGCAGTGCAGAAACGAAAAGTTAAAAAGAAATGGCTGGAGAAAAGGGCGCGAAAATTAACAGGCAGCGCCCAGCATAAAACATGAACAGCGTATTTGTGTAGATAAAATTTTTCTTGTTTATGTTGTCAGTGCCTGGATTGAAGATAGCACTTCTCCAGTTGTCAGAAGAATAAGTCAAAGGATCGAAACCATAACAGGGTTGTCTCTTGATCCCAAACACACAGAGCCGTTACAGGTAAGAATTCTGAGGAAGTTAAAATGCACGCTTGTTTCTCTTGTTCTCTTGTTTCTCCTTGTTTCAATGCTCCTTCGGGAAGTTTGGAAAGCACTCAAGAAGCCAGAGTTGCTTGAGCTCCCAGCTTCACCTTGAGTGACTGTTATACTTCTTTCGTGCTCTTGAAACTTTCTGGGTGTATGACAACTCAATATAATTCACTCTAAAGTTTCCAATAAAATTTAATTCCTTGAAAAGTGACACTCCGTTCA